TCCTCCTTCTCCTCTTCTTCTTCTTCGTCTTTTTGAGACAAGTGTGCACTATGCAGTTCAGGCTGGCCTTGAGTTCACTTTGTTGCCTGCCTGTGCTGGTCTCTTAACTTACAACGACCCTCCTGCCTCAGCCTCCTGAGAGCTGGGATTAGAGGTGTGCACCACCACCACACCCAGCCTTTACTTTAACATTCTCGGTGTGGGAACCATCACCCTTGAAGAAGGTAGTCGAATCTACGCTGGTTTCAAAGTCTCCACCTCTCACCTCTTCCCTTGCCCGATACCACAGCCGTTTCTGGAACTGTAATGAAAGAGGAACTAACTCTTTCTGAACTTCTCTTAATGTAAGAAAGTAAAAACAAGGTCTTCTCTCTCAGGCAATGTCTGTGTACGTTGGCATTTTATATAAGTGAGATATAAACTTTTGATGAAAGAAGCCGATGCTGAAAGTAGGTGAAAAGTAGAGAATGACTTGGCGTAATAGCTTGTAGTTTAAAGGTCCAAGTCCAAAGACAGTGTGAAATAGCAGTTGGTGGTTTGCTGAAGAATGTATACTTTACTAGCTGGGAATTTCTCTTTTCCCAATAATGCCAACATATAGAGAAAAGTTTTTTTTTTTTCAAAGTTTTGTTGATAAACAGATAGCAATGAGACAGTTTCAAATCAAATTGGAAGTACAGTTTCAACAAATAATACACTGCATATATTCTTCTTAGTGGTTAATAGAGAAAAGTTTTAAGTGTCATTGAATACCCAATAATCTTTGAAACATAACAATAAGAACACCATTTTTGAACATCTTCTGTGCATCCAACACAGAGTCAAGTGTTTCCTATCCTGTATCTTACTCAGTCCTCTCAACAATCCAACAGAATGGTGGCTGCTGTTACTCCTGTTTTACCAATGAGGAAGCTAGCACACAGAGGGTTAGAAAGCTTAAAGCAGTGGAGAAGGGATTTAAGCTCAGAATCCCCCTGTCCCTTCTGAGTGGTAGTTAAGCCCAAATCAAGACCCTGAAATGATGTGACTCAGGATAGAACAGCCAAGGTCTTACCTTCAAGCTGGCTGGCTGCCCCAGCAGCCTCTTCTTTTCTGCCAACTCTGTGTCCTCTCTCTGAGTGGTGACACTGCTAGATGCCACAAAGCTCAGAGACACTGCTGATGTGTAACCACATTGTTAAGAGAGTTCTAAGTTTACGTGAATCAAAGCAAAACTCATGGTGCACACAGCCCTAGTTAGCAGCTCTGCACAGGGGGCGGTGATCCAAGCTCAACAGCAGTCACATGCCCTTCCTTGACCACCATGAACTTTGGAGGAAACTACACTGAACAAGATCCATCACCCAGCCTAGCTTTTCAGCATGCACACAGATGCAGAGCTGTTGGACTGGGTAAAAGCCCAACAGACACTCTTCAGCCACATGTCTCAGCCAGCAGCTGTTGTTAACATGGGTCACTGGCAAACAAAAGTTAGGAATGCCTAATGACCTAATGCCTGGGACCATGCGCACGGAACCGACTGATGAGGTTAACCTCCAGTCAGTGGCAGAAAGCCCCAACCCACAATCACCCACAGAATGACGGCTCTGATTGCTATCCTCAGGCATCACTGATCACTAATCCTCAGGCAAAGCAAGGTGTGCTCAAGAATCTGCATAAGTCCGCTCCGCTTCCACTCACAGAAGCTCAAATGAGCTCTTCTTCAGACAAGACCCACACAACTCCTATTTCTTTTTCACAAATGTTGCAACAAACAGAGCTAACATTTCTTACCGTGGGCCTGGCACCTTCTTGGTGAGCTGCAGGTATTGGATGTTCATAGCCAGGGTCAGAACTGGGTGCAGGAGCACACTGAATACACTTTCTGTGATGCTAAATCCCTTTCACCCTCTACTGCATGTCAGTGGAATTACACGTTACATAAATTCATTATTATCTAAGTGGTTTTGTTTGTTTGTTTGTTTGTTTGTTTGTTTGTTTTTTGTGGCTAGCTTAGCCTGCCCTTGGGGGTGCGGCTAGCCGGGCATGTGGTGCTGGGGATCAAACCAAGGTCCCTGGGCTTCCCTAAGCTTGCCTAAGCAGGTACCTTAGACTGCTGAGCTATCTTGCTGGCCCAAAGTGCATTCTTTATTTGTAAAATAAACGTGACAGAAATTTACCATTTCAACCATTTGTAAGTGTGCAAGTCGGGGAATTGTGCAACCGGCACCAGCACGCCTCTACAGAGCTTTCCATCACCTCCTGCTGCAGCCCTCTGGCCATTGGTCACAACCACCCACTTCTGCTGCTGCCTTTCTGCGTTCTGTGCCTGTAAATCTGTATGCTCTCGAGACTGCGTGTGCGTGGGAGCTTTTGTCACTGACTTGTTCCACTTCACCGTTTCCAAGGTTCTTCCACGGTACATGTCTCAGAATAGCCTTCATTTTAAGACTGAATGATAATCCACTGTAAGCCTCCACCCCGTTTATGCATTCATCTATTAATACATATTTGTACTGTCTTCATCTTTTGGAGTTTGTGAATAATACTGGTGCGAGTTGGGTGGACCGGTATCTCTTCAAGCCACTACTTTCAATTCTTTTGAGTATATGAGGTACAACAAAAACATGGTGAATGTTTACGTCTAAAAAAATTGTTACAGTAAAAGACACATTGTCATTAATCACCTTCAAAATACTCCCCCTCACCTTGAGCATACTTGTCCCATCGTTCTGACCACTCTCTGAAGCAGTTCTGGAAGACCTCTGTTATGAGTGTCTCTCCTGATGCTGGTTGCCCTCAACTGATTCAAAACATTCATCTTTGTCATTTTGGCCATGGAGAAGTGCCAGAAGTCACACAGTGCCGGATCTAGTAAACAGGTGGATGAGAACACACCATAATATTTTTATTTGACAGAAAATGCTGTATATGTTTGATCAGTGAGGGGAGATCAGAGCACATGGCAAATGTCTAAATAAAAATATTTATTACAGCAAAAGACATATAGGCATGAATGCCTCTCAAAATACTCCCTCACTTGTAACATGTGTATTGCTTCATTCTTGGTAGTGTAATGTGTCTTTTACTGTAATAAGTTTTTTAACATAAGCACGTACTATATGTATTTTTGTGTAGTTAGATATAGCATTGCTGGGTCTATGGTAATTCAATGTTTAACCTTTTGAAGAGTTCCCATCCTGCTTTTCCACGGTATCTTAGAGCGCTCTGATGCACCCTTGCTTGAAGGCCCAGGTGGATGGCTGAGAGGTGATGAGAAGGAAGAGGAACTGTGGCTCTGTAATTTCACAAATCTGACTGCAAGAAGTTGGAAGGCATTAGCTAGAGGCCTTATCTTGAAATGAAGGGGTAAAACCAACATGATATTTTTTATGTTGGTTGCAGAATACATATCTTTTTTTTTTTTTTTTTTAACACACCTTAATGTCTTCCTTATACACAGGTGGCTGGAGATCACCAATGAAGACAAAAATTTCCAAATGGATTTGTTTACAGAAGAAAGGGCCAATCTGAAAATGAATGACCATAACAGGTTTATATAAGTATAAAACTAAGGAAGAGTTAAGTTCTTAAAATAAGATATTTTTTTGCAATAATATTGGGACTTTAGAGTTTAAAATGTAATTCATATATTTCTACATTGTTATAGGGGACAAATTGTACAAGAAGTGACTGTATAAAACAACAAAAATAAGTGACACCAGTCTGCTCTATTTCACAACTAAACACACACAAGTATGTCTGTCTTACACAGGCATGGGAAACAGGGCTGGGAACACACCCATCAGGAATAGCAGAGAGGATAGTCCCAGCTTGTTGAATGTACTAATCTCTAAAAGATTTTTCACTTGAGAAATTTTCAAACAGAGGCTGGAGAGATAGCTCAGAGGCATAAGCACCTACCTGGCAAGCACAAGGACCCGAGTTCAATCACTGGCCCCACTATGCTGTGAGGTCTTGGCCTTGAATCCCCAAGAGCACCATCCCAGTCCCAGGTGCGAGCACCTATCGTCTGGCCCCAGAACTGGACGTGGTGGCACATGCCTGTAATCCCAGCGCTTGGGAGGTTGAGCCAGGAGAATCTCTGCAAGTTCGAGACCAGCCTGGGGGCTACAAAAGTGAGCACAAGATCAGCCTGAACTATATAATGAGACCCTGTCTCAAAAAAAAAAAAAAAAAAAGGAAATTCTCAAGCAAGTATGATCAGCACATTCATACTGTATATTTCCCTCTCAAGAGAAATAAAAAATCACTTGGAGTTTTTTTGTCCAGACACATTCTTCCTCTGTCCAGAGATGTCTTAGATTCTTTTCTCATGCTGACACAAAGTGCCCAACACTCGAGGTTGAAGGAGGAAAGGTTTATTTAGCTCACAGTTTGTAGAGGTTGCAGTTGACTCCAAGGCAAGGTGGCACATGGCAGAGGGCAGAGCACCTCTTGCTGTCCCTTATATTAGATTTAGTCTACTGTGGAACCAAAGTGGACTGATCCGGAAGTCACCCACCCCTAAGTCCAGCACACTTAATCTCAGCATTGCACTTTGAACCAATCACTCACTCTGGATTCAGGCATGTCCAAAACAACCCTAGAATGGCATGAGGCTTTGGGGGACTTCTAGACACAGACTGCAAGAGACCAATAGGTCTTAACACTTTCTGTTATCAGCAAATAGAGGAGTTTTTCATTTTAAATTTGTTTACCAAAAACAAATTGTTCCAGGTAAGGGACTAACACTGCCGTACCATCCTCTCACCCAAGCTGGCATTAATTCCTGAGTGCAGGAAGTGTTCCATACTGGATACTGGCTAGCTCTCCCCGCCAAACACACAGAGCACACAGGAGAGCCCCACTTGATGGCAGGGGAAGCAGGTTGAGAGAGAATAAGAAACTTGCCCAAGGTTGTCAGCTAGTGAGAGATAGAACCAAGTCTCAAGACTCTGGGTCTGGTCTCAAAGCCCCCAACGTTTTCATTCCTTCATGTTCCCGAGAATTTATGTACTACTCCTGCCTTCACCTGGGATTTCTAAAATCTCTAAAACTCTTGTTCACCAACAGCAGCAGAGACTATGCTTAGAACCCCTTGTGCAGATAACTTTCTTATGTAATGATTTCCTTCTTTTAAAATCTGCTTTTTCAGGGGCCTGCCCCTTAGCTCAGTTCTTTAAGTGGCTGCTTCAACAAAGCAGTCAGGCTCAGGTTGCTGTGGTTCGATCCCCACAACACAAGACAGCCAGTCATGCCTTGAAGGCATTCGGCGCAAAAAAAAAAAATAAATAAATAAAATAAAATCTGCTTTTTCAGGGGCCTGCCCCTTAGCTCAGTTCTTTAAGTGGCTGCTTCAACAAAGCAGTCAGGCTCAGGTTGCTGTGGTTCGATCCCCACAACACAAGACAGCCAGTCATGCCTTGAAGGCATTCGGCGCAAAAAAAAATAAATAAATAAATAAAATAAAATCTGCTTTTTCCCTCTCCCCCTCCCTGCCCATCCCCTCCCCCTCCCCCTCCCCTTCCCCTCCCCTCCCCTCTCCCTCCTTCCATTCCCGTATACATTCTTGCTTCACCTTTCCTCTCAATCCATACTTCTGCCTGCCATACTTCTGCCTCCATATACTGATTGCAAAGACTCTGGGGCGTGCCAGCTCAAGTGGCTGGAGGTTTGTTTCTTTTTTTATAATAATTTTACTGAGAAACAAATAGCAATGAGACAGCCTCAAAACCAATTAGTAGGACAGCCTCAACAATTAATACATTGCACACTGTTGTTTTCTCAGTAGCCATTCATAGTACAAGATGCAGACATGACATCCTGTCCACAAACACCATTAAAACAAATCTTTCCATTCATTGAATTAAGAGAAAGTAGCTGTACATCTATCCTAACTATTCTGAACATACAGATCAAAATGGTCCTCCATTTTTATCCCCTTTTTTTGTCTAGTTTTGTCAGAGAAGGGCACTCCACTGTCATCCAAACACTGTACGTGCGTGGATTCAGCAAAACATTCCAATATACTGCAGTAGTCCATAACAGCAGGAGGGTTTCGGTAGGACTGGCAAGGTCAGAAGTTGTTGACCTGAGCCTTTTACAGCTCAGCATATCAATATGGCCATATGACTGAGTGTAAACGCCATATTGAAAAGAAAAAGAAAAAGAAATAAAAAGCCATATTGATATGGATGTTTGTTTTTTTGTGTTCTTTTGTTGTTGTTGTTGTTGTTGTTGTT